TTTTCGAATAGTTTTGAGATTGTTTCCGTGGTCGCTTTTCGGGATCCGTCCACATTCGAAGCGCAAGCACCTGCCGCCCCCCCCCTCCTCCCACCTCAAAGCATATGTGAGTACAGAATGTGAGAAATCATTCATCATATTTCGAAGCTTTGCTAGGTCAGCTTATTCATGATTATCAGCAGAAAGACATCTGAAAACTAACGACGGGTATAAAGGAGGGGGAGATTAGCGTGGAGAATCGCAGCAATTCTCACAACCCTAAGACAGAAGTGGCTTGTCGCGCCATGTACTACTCACACTGCCTTATGGTGAAGTCCTGGACCGAACCCCGTCCAGCTGCCATCACGAGAAAACAGGACGCTTGACGATTTCCAAGGAGGGAGCGGTCAATGCATATTGCTTCACTTTTATTCATTTATTTACAACTTCCTCCTTCATCTAGAACATTTTCTTTTTTCCTTATCGTTTTAGAAAAATTTTAGAATGAAATTTACGGGGTTCAATGATATGATGAACAATGCAGCCAAGCCAAGCCGTTTATTAAGCACACTAAACAGGACAGAAGAGAACCACCCGAAATTTGCAGGATCGACACAACACAACGACAAAAGCAAAAGAGGGCAGACGAAAATACTAGCCATTGCAATGCGCAGATGTTGGGACCATCGGGTTCAATTGGCGACGTTTGTTTTGCGCCATCCACTGTTTCACCGTTGGACAACTCGTGTTGAACACGTTTCGATCGAACTTGTAGACTTTTGGCTGTTTATATTCGGATAGTGGTTGCTCTTCTTCTCCAGGAACGAAAACATCGCAGAACGAATCCTTAAATTAATCTAATCTCGGCGATTATGAGAAGAAACATAATCGAACCAAACCGATTGCTCGTAAACGAAGGAGATGCAATGTGGAGTTTCATAGCACTGCTTGAAACAATCGCGAAAGTAGCACTGGTTGTAATGTGCTAGTTCAATGTTGATCAAATCTGCACCGTTGAATTTGGTGAACGTGCAGGACAGACCGGGAGTCACCTGAAATGGCGAAGTATTCTAGTTGAAGTGTTTCCTGCAAGAACTGGCCATCCTTTCATTTTGTCTTTCTTGTTTTTGTTTCATGTGGCAGTTACCGTTATAATTGTTTATTGTTTATTGTTTCGTACGTCAAAAGACATGCCGTCAAACACATGAAGATGGCTCGTAAAGGGAAGGATCAAAGTATATAAAGATTAAACTCCACAAAAAGACAAGAAAAGTCCTAAAAAGATGCTAAGGAGGATAAAACCATCATCAAATCATCTTAGAATACTGAGACGCTGAGCATTGCCAATTAGGGACAACGAACTAAAAACTTAGCTCAATACGTGCAGTGCAAGACGAGAGCTAGAGGCTTGCTCCGGAAGGAAACCTGGTAATATTTAAGTGTAGACTCCTGATCCTTTAGCGACGGTGGAATGTGCACATTAGAAATATCAATGGCATCACCATAAAGAGCTGATGCTGTTAGCCTTGTAGCAAGAAAGCAATAGCCTCAGGTAGGAGCCCACATCAGCCGGCTATGATGCCCTTCGCCACATCCGGGGTCATAGGCACTTGCCAAAACTCCGAGACACGGGTTTACCGGCCACCCACGTGGAATTGGCAAGCTGGGCTAGTACTGAAGCCGGATGCTACCCACCAGCAAAGCAAACAGACAACAACCGTTAATCGGTGGTAATCGTGGTAAGAGAAGCTGGTTTCTGCAAGATTAAAGGTACGTTACTTCAGCTTCAATTAAGTTAGAAAAGAAGGGGTGGAGGATCCCGATGGACGAACACGAACTGAACTGACCATGAAAGAATTTTACCTGCGAGAGATGCAGGAAGCATGCAAATGCTGTGACGCGAAGCGCAATGGAGCACATTGTTCTGAAGTTCACAATTGTCGGTCGAGTTCGTAGAACGCGTTCAACCCTAAAGTCACCTTACCTCAAGGGCCGACTCGAGCACAATAACCTTCTAGAAAGCCAGTCGCCAGGAGGAGCTATTGTGTTGCTAGGATTCCTAATTCGAGTGGATTAGAAATCCTATTATTCCAACCATTTTCCAGTGAAATATACGATACGCATATCTCGAAGAGACTCAAGTGATGTGGTTAATATTCATGCCTAGGAGACATAATTCGGCTTCGTAGAAACCGCTTGGCTTCGTAGAGACCGCGAACGACTCCGCGCAACGCCAAAAAGCGTTTCAGAACGAAATTCGACGCTCACCGGCTCATCTTTATCACAACTCAGAAGATGACATAGGCGCAAAACAACTTCATCGGCACGGACTTTAAACTCGCTTAGATTCCAAAAAATATGAAAAAAAAACAAAAAAGCCGTTGTCAGTCATGCTCTTTATCAAGGGTACGGTTCCGCCCGCAGGTGGTCTCAGAGCCACCCCTTCCCACTTGTGAAGTTGCGTGGTCGTCATGTTTCGAAAAGGTTTTGAAAAGTTTCGTCGTTCTCCGACCTCAAAATTCAAATGCATCGTAACTCGACCAAACCGTTTTTAAATTAAAAACTTCTGGAATCTGCAAGCATTTTCCGATAAAAGTCATATTTACTGAGTCATTATTCAGATTACTAAAGCTCAGGAGGCGGTGAACGACTGAAGGTCGTTTCAGCACCATGTTGTATTTGAGGCATTTCTCTCCGAGCGGTTATTGAGGTCCTCGAAAATGTGACGTTTGGTGAGGAAGAGGTTTTTCGAGTGAGATAGCAAAATTATTACCTAGCCCTGCTGGTTCAACTGTACAGGGTTTTGTAAAATGGAGTTATCCCTGAGCCTCATTTGTTGAATATATTCTCTTTAGCAAATCTTTGTAGTTGTTGAGGACTCTTTCTTTTCAAGCTTTATTGGTGAGCTTTCGCTGATATAACAGCTTCCTCAGACCTAGAAAAAGTTATAAGCATATCACAATTAAACAGCCTTTACAATACTTATAGCAAATGATAACTAACTGACCAGGCGGCTACTTTCAATTAAGAATTCTGCAAACAACTACTTGAGACTGCAAAGTTAAGCTACAATCCGAACTAACACAATTGGCGACAATAGAATGATGACACCTTACCCTAGGACAGTCGCTAACCAAATGAAAAGTACTCAGAATGAGCAGTACGTGACAGTACAGGTCTCCGTTG